ATGTATGCATGTATGCATACACACACACACACACACACACATATATATATATATATACACACATATATGTGTTGTTGTTATGTGCCGTGGAGTCAGTTCCAACTCATAGCGACCCTGTACAGGGCTTCTGAGGCTGTGAATCTTTATGGGAGCAGAAAGCCTCATCTTTCTCCCACAGAACAGCTGGTAGTTTTGAACTGCTCACCATGAGATTAGCAGCTCAACTTGTAACCACTACACTACCAGAATGCTCCAAATCTATATATACACTCACTATATATATTCTTATAGTTAAGTGCCATTGAGTTGGTTCTGACTCATAGTGACCTTACATAGAATGTCGTAGGAACAACTAACAGGTTTAAACTACCAATCTTGTGGTTTTGCAGTCCAGTGTTTATTCTACAGCACCACACCAGGATTCCTCTCTCTATATATATACCTCTAGTATATGGGAGTCCTAGTGTGGTGCTGTGAGATAAAGCACTGAACTGCAAGGTTGGTTTGAACCACAAAGTCAGCGGTTCAAACTCACCAGCTGCTCCTTGGAGAGCCTATACAGGGTTGTTATGAGTCGGAACCAACTTGATAGCACTTAACAACAACAACACATTATATAAATGGAGTTCTGGTGGGGTGCTATAGGATAAACGCTGGACCACAAGGCTGGTAGTTCAAAACTTACCAGCCGCTTCTTGGAAACCTCATGTAAGGTTGCTATGAATCAAAACCAACTCAGTGACAGTTACCAACAACAACAACAAAATTATACATGTATGTATAGGTGATGGTTGTGTGCCATGGAGTTGGAACTGATTCATAGCGATCCTGTACAGGGTTTTGGAGGCTGTAAATCTCTATGGGAGCAGAAAGCCTTATCTTTCTCCAATGGAACAACTGGTTGTTTTGAACTGCTGACCTTAAGGTTCGCAGCCTGATTTGTAACCACTACACTACCAGAGTTCCATATATATATATGAGCATGGTGGCACCATATGATAAGCACTAGATTGTGAACCATAAAATCTGAGGTTCAAGCCTGCCAGCTGCTTCACAGGAGAAAGATGAGGCTTTCTACACCCACAAAGATTTAAAAAGCCTTAGAAACCTTACACAGGCTCACTATGAGTCAGAACCAACTTGATGGCACTTAACAATGTTGTTAAATACTGTCTAGTTGGTTCTGACTGACTCTGTATAAGGTTTCCGAGGAGCAGTTGATGGGTTTGAACTGCCAACCTGTAGTTCATAGTCCAGTGCTTATCCTACAGCACCCAGATCTAGCTAGCTATCAAGGAAACCTGATAGTGTTGTGCTTAAATGCTCAACTACTAACCAAAGGGTCAATTGTTCACACTCACCAGCTGCTCTGCAGGAGAAAGATGAGGGAGTGTATTCTTGTAAAGATCTGTAACCTTGGAAACCCGATGGGGCAGTTTGACTCTGCCCTATAGGGTCACTGTGAGTTGGGATCAGCTAATTAGCAATGAGTACAGGTATTTCTATCCATCTGTCTGATAATATTTCAAAGGATTTAAAACCAGAGCTAGAGAAATAGTAATGTAAGATCTGGAAGAATACATTCTAGGTCATCAGACAATGTTCTTGATCCTTTATATCTGTAAAGCAGTTGACAGCTTACAAAGAGCTTTCTGATCCATTATCACATCTGTTCCTTGTCTTATCTCAGCACAGAGGACAGGGATGTTTTCTAACCTCCTCTTTAAAGCCTAGGAAACAGGCTCAGAGAGGGGGCATGGCCCAGCCAAGGTTCTTACTGAATCAGGGTGGAAAGCCTGGGGTACCTCAGTTTATATCCCCCGTTCTCTGCAGATTATCACAGGGTGTTCTGAGTGTCTCAGAAAATGACTGGTGCCTGGGACGGAGGCACAAATACTGCTCAGGTCCCTGCACTGGGGCACCCATAGTTCATTTTCTTTGAACTCCCCATTCAGTGCTGGGCACCAGGCTCTTCTCTCTGACCACCCATAGAGTTTGAGGAAAGGGTTCTTAGTTTATTTCAGAGACGACAGCCCATTGCCTGTTAAGTCAGCACTGATCTCTAGAGGAGACCCTTGGCTATGGGTGTTGCATGTTGGACCCAGCAGAACCCTATGCTTCCTCTGATTGCTCTCACTGTGAGTGGGAGTTGTCAGGGAACCCCAGCTCACCTTCCTGGTGCCAAGAACAGGATGTGTTTCTTCAAGATGCACTTGACAACTGACCCCTTGAGGTACAGATCCTACAAATTCAGGATTCTGGGGGAAGGAACGTGCCCACCTCTGGGTAAAGTCTCACTACCCAAAATGACCTCATCTGTAAACTGGCAATGGTAACCAGCTAATAATCAGTTACCTGCTGCTCTTGATTCCAACTCCTGGCCAGCCCATGTGTGTCAGAGTACAACCGCATTCCATGGTTTTTAATGATTGTGCTCTTTTGGAAGGAGTTCTGATGACCCTGTAAGGTCAGCAGTTCAAAGCCAACTAATGACTCTATGGGAGTGAGATGAGACTGTCTGCTTCTGTAAATACCAACAGCCTTGGAAACCTATACAAGTCATTGTGAGTCCGAATTGACTTGATGGCAGTCAGTGAGTGTGATCTTTTGGAAGTAAACCATCAGGCCTTTCTTTTGGTGGGTAGACTTAGCACCTCCTAACTTCCTGTTAGCAGCTGAGCTTGTTAGCTCAGCTAACCACCCAGGGCTTCCCATGGCCCTGGTGTGGCAATGCATAAGCATTGCACTGCTGGCTGTAAAGTCAGCATTTCAAACCCACCAGCCACTCCTCAGAAATGCTATGCTGGATCATTATGAGTTGGAACTGACTTGATAGCACTTAACAACAACAACACTAGACCAACTGAGCAGACAAAAAAAAACCCCAAAAACCTTGATGTAGATCTTGAAGAGCAACACAGTGTAACATCCATGAACCAGTCTTGATGTTATCTCTTTCTATAGCATACTTGGAATGTGTGTGGAGAAGCACACTGTGTCCTACATGTGAGTTCAATGAGTTTCCATAAAAGGAACACACGCAAATTAACAGCACCCACATCAGTGACATTCAGAGCCCCCAAACTCTCTCTCCTAACCTGCCCAGTAACTATTTCCCAAGAATAACCACAGTCTTGAGTCTGTTATAAAGCCTGGTCAGCAGCATAGGGCCTCATGGGACACAGACCTTGATAGGTGAGAGAAGGTTACATGGATGACTTTGGTGCAAAAGATGAGACCAAATGACTCTGTGATAACAACAGTAAGTGTGGTAACTCCACTTTTGCTCATTTACTCTGTGCCAGGCATCAGGTAAAGTATGTATACAAGTTTCACAGCACATTTCACAATAGCCCTGTGTGGCTGGTGCCATTCCCATTTTGCAGATCAACAATACTGAGGTTTGTTCAAGGATGAGATGGATTTCATGCAAGGTCACAGAGTATGTGAGTGGCTCAAAGAGGCTGAATTCAGAGATCTTGGGTCCTGTCCCCTGCTTGGCTGTCTAAGCTTACAGGCTTTCCCTTGATTTCCAGATTGGCCATCGGGACTTTGATGTGGAGAAGCGTCTTCGGAGGGACCTCAAGAGGACCCACGCACTCCTGTCAGATGTGCAGCTCCTTCTCAGGACCATGGAGGACACCAAGACGTCGATCAGCAAGGAGGAGTTGGAGAAAGTGCACAGCCAGGTGTGTGAGGGGGGCCCCTCCAGACTGGGCTGGCAGGGCACAAGTTGTGAGTGTGGCCATGGTGCAGCTCTGCTTTCAAAGACCTGCACTGGACTTGGGGACATTGAGAGTAGGGAGCTTGGGAGGGTGACCTTGACACAGTAGGCAAGGAGGAAGGGTTTATTAATGGCTGAGAAATTAGCCCTGGTGACATTGAACTGTTGACTGCAAAGTTGATGGTTCAAATCCATCAGCTACTCTGCAGAAGAAAAACGAGGCAGCCTGCTTCTGTAAATATTTAGTCTTGGAAACCCTAAGGAACAGTTCTATCTGTCCTATAAGATCACTGTCAGAATTGACTGGATGGCAGTGGGTTAGGTGTCATTTGGAGATGGCTTGTTACCGCCTTTCAAGATGAGGTACAATGCCAGTCTTGAGGGCCTAGACAGAGCAGGGTCCTGAGGTCAAAGTGACTGAGTGCCGCTTGTGACTATGTGTGTGCATGTGTGTGGGTGCACACTTGCGGTCACAAGAGCTGGGTATGAAACAAACAGTGCTTTTGTTAATAATACAACAACAGCATCAAACAAGAGCCATTCCATTGCCTATTTGAATAATGACAGTGTTAATCCTGATATATTATTGATCAATAACTGCCTCTATATAGAGCCCCCACTGTGTTGATGTTGCATGGAGCTCTTGGTGCATCTCAGTGAGGTGAGAACCATCTTCTCCCTATTACAAATGCCAGAGACACAGGCTGACTGGCACAAAGTCACACAGCTAGAAAGTGGTAGATTCTGGATTAGAACCCAAGGTTTTCCAGGTTCTACCATCCAGAGCTGTCCTAAAGGAGGACAGAACAGTGGGTCAGAGGGGGATGAGAGGAGGAGCTCCAAAGTTGTGAAGGTATGGGCTGTTCTGGGTGTGTGTGTGGTGGGTGAGGGGGCAGAGGGAACATAAATGTATGGGCTGTGCTGGGACAAATGGTGGGGGCATGATTGTGTGGGTTGTGTTGAGTACCAGCAGGCAGTGGGGCTGTGCTGAGGTCAGGCATTGTGGTCCAAGGCAGCTGGTGGAGACAGGCATGAGTGGATCAGAGCCTGGTAGGACAGTAGGAGACTTGGGGAGAGAGGTACCCCGAGCAGAGGAATGTATCAGGGACACAGGATTTGCTAATGTGGTCATGGAGAGCTGGAATCACATAAGAAGCTTTGTGACCTGAGGGGGTGTTGAACCCATGCATCAGTGATCCCCTCTGAACCACACCCCTTCCTTGGATGAGCCATGTCATGCTCACCTCTACCTTCACCATCCCACCTCCTTGGAGCATTTCCATCTTTGCATCTTCCTTCCCTGGTCCGATGTCAATCGGTGTCTCTGGGATTCCTAAAGCCCACATGGCTGAAGGCCCCATACCTTGCCTGCCCACCTCCCATCAAAGCATTCCAGATTCCCCAACATCCCAGCCAGCCCTCACCTCCCACAGGTGACTGTTCTTGAAAAGAAATCACAGCAATTGTTTCTTTGTCTGTGTTCTCCTTTTTTGTCATGTTTATGAGAGCTCTTCCTCTGCAGGGTTAAAATGTGTGTTCTTAGAAAAAGTAGTGGTATTTAATGAAGGCGCCTCAAGGCAAATCAAAGAGCCTCCTTCTTCTGAAAGTTCTTTCTTTCCCATCTCTGCATCCGGCTCCTATCAAAGGGAATTCACAGCCTTGGCTTTCCATTGCTGTTGTCATGGAAATGGTTATAAGGATGGGATCGAGTGGACCAGAGGTCAGGGTACAGTTGCTTTGCCTCCCAGCACACGTGTCCCGGATGCTGGAGTCGGAGCTAATCAAATAAAGCAGCGATGACATTGGGCATGGCTGCGTCTCCTCTTCCATGGGCGGTATTTGTCCTTTGCTTGCAGGCTCTGGGGACAGAGGCGTGAAGAGCTGGCAGGAGGGGGATGGGAGAAAAAGCTAACTTTGCTGCTAGCTGAGGTCTTTAGTACTGAGCATGGCGCTGAAAAATGTAATTCAGTCAATTACTCACATATCCATTTGCCAACTATGCATCACCTGCCATATGCCTCTGGTGGTGCTGTGGGTTAGGTTAGGCTGCTCAGCACAAGGTCAGTGGTTCAAGCTCACCAGCTGGTCCTCAGAAGAACGATGAGACTGTCGGCTCTTGTACACATTTACAGTCTTAGAAACCCTATGGAGCAGTTCTACTTTGTTCTATAGGGTTGCCCTGAGTCAGAATGGACACAGTGGCAGTGAGTTTGGAGTTTACTCTATGCATGGCACTGTAGAATAAGTACTAGACTCCTAGTCACAAGGTTGGTGGTTCAATCCCACCAGCCACTCCTTGGAAATCCTCTATAGGGTTGCTATGAGTTGGAGCCAACTCAATGGCACGTAACAACAACAACAATATGCCGGATGATGTGCTAGTTGTGATGTGACAGTTTTCTAGGCTGTAATCTTTATAGGAACAGAGTGTCAGAACTTTTTCCTATGGAGTAACTGGGCAGATTTGAACCACCAACCTTTTGGTTAGCAGCTGAGTGCTTAACCATTGCACCACCATGACTCATGTTGTGATGAATGCTAGCTGTGTAGTGGTTAATAGTAAGGCAGGTATGTATTCCTCCGCATGGAATTGATATCTAATGACAAAGAGGAGAAGCAAACGATGGAACAAATCAATAGAATCATCACACACCTTAATTCAGGCAATGAAGCAAATAAGGAGGGCTTATGCTCAGGGCCCAACCAAAAGGTTGGAAGTTGTAGTTAATCCAGGGGTGCTTCAGAAGAAAGGCCTGTTGGTCTATGTCCAAAAAAATTGACCACTGAAAATCCAATGAAGAGCAGTTCCACTCTGACACACACAGAATGCCATGAGTTGGAATTGACTCCAAGCTACTGGTTACTGGTGGAATAGGAAATTGCAGGGGATCTCATGCAGCTTGGGTAATCAGCTGAACCACCTGGAAAGACCAGAACAGGCAGATTTGGATTTCCTGCCAAGAATGAGGAGAAGCCACTAGAAGATTCTGAGCAGAGTGTGACATGAAGTGATGCAGGTGGAGTGTGGACTGTGGAGAGATATGAGTACCACTAAGGCTGTTGCACAATGTCAGGCCCAAGGACCTGGGGTCTGGGTGAGAGTTTGTTGGTGGAGATAGGAGAAAGGGCAAATGTGGTGCTGATTTGGATCTAACAGGATTTGTAGATGGTTTCATTGCTAATGTGAGGGGACTTTAAAAAGTCCATGGAAAAAATGGAATGAAAAGAAAATGGAATTTTCTCATTAGCTTTTTTAATCACCTTCCTAAGTGTATTATTTCAATGAATCCTCACTCCAACCCTGTCACTATTGTTGTTGGTTGCTGTTCAGTTGTCCCCAGACACATGACAGCCCCCGCACAACGGAACAAAACGTTGCCTAGTCCCACACCGTCCTCAGGATCAAATGCAGATTGCACCATTGGTATCCACAGGGTTTTTACTAATTTTCAGAAGTAGATCTCCAGGCCTTTCTTCCTAGTCTACCTAAATCTGAACGTTCCACTGAAAGCTGTTCAACATCATAGCAATACACAAGCCTCCACTACTAACAGCTGGGTAGCAGTTGTGCATGAAGTACACAGGCTGGGACTCGAACCCAGGTCTCCTGCATAGAAGGCAAGAACTACCAGTGCCTAGTGTCATACCTTCCTAAAATCCAAGATGAATCCACCCCCACTGAGTCAGTTCTGACTTATAGTGACCCTGTATAGGATATCCGAGACGGTAAATCCTTACGGGAACAGAAGGCCTCATCTTTCTCCTGCAGAGCAACTGGTAGGCTTGAACTACTGCCTTGCAGTTAGAAGTCCAGCGCTTAGGCTAAGTATTGCTAGTTTCAAACCAAAAGTAAAGAGAACAAAGGCTTTGAGAGATTGGGTAAGCCACCCAAGGGTACATAGCAATCAATACATGTCTGAAAGCTCTGACTACCAATAGCCTTATATCCTTGCAACTGGTTCACATAACTTGAGGCCTATTGATATTGATCAAGGATTATGATGTACCAGCTTTTTGTGTGTCCCTCAGGGGTCCCAGACTTATTAGAGGACATGGGCACCATTTAAAAAAGTGCAGATCCCTGGATTCAACCTCCCAGATAGTCTGCCTTGGAACCCAGGGTTTACTCGTTTAAAATAATTGCTTGGGAGGATTCAGATGCTGGTCATAGGACCAGTATTTGGGGACTATGGCTTCATTTATCCCTCAAAACACTTTTTTAAATTTGGCAGAGCTGGGCCTCAAACCTACTTCATTCCTGACTCCAAACCTAGTGCCCTCTTTCTTCCTTCTAGCAACATGCCCATTTTGCATGTCCATGGAGTTCTATTAGAGGACTTCAATAAGTTCTTGGAACAATGGAATTAAAAGAGAATGGAAACTCTCCAAGAGCTTTTTGAAGTGCCTGAGTGTACTAGGTCTTCATTGTGTTCAATCTATTTTATAATGAATGAAATCAAGGGAACTGGCACCACCACTTGTTAATGTTGTGACCTTGGGTGAAAAATGTGACCTACCTGGATCCATTTCCCTGAAAGTGGGGTGTGGTCAGTTCTTGATACCCCAGAAAATCCTGGGGAGCCCGTGAGATAAAGCACAGACTGAACACCAGGATAGCAGTCACCCAGAGCAAGGTTTACTTTACACAGGACACCAATGAGCAAATGTGCTTTCACTCAGCAAACACTGATACTCAGGGACGAATTCAGGGCCCAAAATGACTTCAAGGGGCTCCTAGTCCAAGGAAGAGGCCAACCCAGAAGCCAATTTTTGCTTTTTCTTAGAAAGATGCTTCAGTTTAGAAAAAGAGGGAACATTTCAGTTTGCTTAGGGAAAGGACCGGTGGCTTCAGTCATCTCTTTAAAGATGGTAAGGAATAGATGGTTGGACAAGATGTAGGTGGGCATTCTAGAAGGAAGCAACAGATTACAACAGCATACTGGCTCATGGAGAAAAGACAGAGAT